AAACCCTATTAAAATTGATAACAGGTCTTCAATGATTAAGCTCTCTTTTTCATGATCTGTTAACTGGTTTATTTCATCGTCTATGGGATCATGTGATAATTCGTTGATTGGAAGTTTATAGATGGATGATGATTGAAATGGTACTAATTTTAAAAAGACGTAAGTATTATTGTTGTAATTTGTCTATTTGTACCTTATACCTTCTAGTTTATCTTCTTGTTTTAGCTTTGTTTTACTATAATCATAATATGCCATGATCAATGATAGTAAAACTATAAAATTGCTGTACTATTTTGTGGGATTTCAACTTGATTTACTGAATTACGTCAGCTAATCTAAGTAATTGCTTATATTTATTTCTGAGTTGAATTTTTTATTTTTTATTTTTAAGTAGAAATGGTAATATAAAGAGATATTATTGAAATTAAGCTTATATTAAACTAAAATTAAAGGGAAATAATCAATCAGGACTACCAAACTTTCCAAATCAAGATGGCAAGAAGGGGAAAGACAATAAGGTAGGTCAACAAAATAATAATAATAAAATCGATTTATTAATTCATTTAGGAAGAAAAGAAGAAATTTGAACCACCAGTAGCAACAAGAATCGGCAAAAAGAAGAAGGGTACAAGCACAGCTAATAAGTTACCATTGGGTAATAGATTTAAAATAATGTTATTGAATTAAACTAAATTAAATTGCGAAATTAGTATTACCAAATACCCGTTGTCGCTTAAAGTTAATGAAGAAAGAGCGTATTAAGGATTATTTATTGATGGAACAAGAATTTGTTACAAAGCAAGAACAGCATCGCCCACAAGATGAGAGACATGAAGTAACTTGAAATTAAAATTAATCTTTAAATGCTAAATTAATCCCTTTATTTTAGGAAGAACGTAGTAAATTAGATATATTACGCGGCACTCCAATGGGTGTAGGAACATTAGATGAGATTATTGATGATGAGCATGCTATCGTCACCACTACCAATGGTCCAGAATATTACGTCAATATAATGTCTTTTGTTGATAAAGATGCATTGGAGCAAGGTTGTTCAGTGCTAATTCATCATAAAGTAAGTTTAGAGTTAATATTAACAACTTGAATTTAACTTTTTTGCTAGAATATGTCAGTTATTGGTGTATTAGCAGATGATATCGACCCTATGGTTAGTGTTATGAAGATTGACAAAGCACCTACGGAGACTTATGCAGATATTGGTGGTTTAGAACAACAAATCCAAGAAATTAAAGTAAGACGATATATATTTATATTATAGCATTTTTGTGTTAAATGTTTTATCAGGAATCTGTTGAACTTCCATTAACTCATCCAGAATTATATGAAGAGATGGGTGTCAAGCCACCAAAGGGGGTTATATTATATGGTGTCCCTGGAACTGGTAATAATTCATATAGTACAACAATTTATTGATATTAATCCAACTCTTTATTACTTTAGGCAAAACTTTATTGGCTAAAGCAGTTGCTAATCAAACTTCAGCTACTTTCTTAAGAGTTGTAGGTTCAGAGCTTATTCAAAAATATCTTGGTGATGGCCCCAAAATGGTAAGAGAATTGTTCAGAGTAGCCGAAGAGCATTCACCATCTATTGTATTTATTGATGAAATTGATGCTATCGGTACTAAACGGTAATACTAAAATATACTAAAATATAAAAATGATGCTAATGAATATTAGTTATGACTCTAACTCAGGAGGTGAAAGAGAAATTCAACGTACTATGTTAGAACTTTTAAATCAATTAGATGGGTTCGATGCTCGCGGAGATGTTAAAGTGATTATGGCTACAAACCGAATCGAAAGTTTAGATCCAGCTTTAATCAGACCTGGACGTATTGATCGTAAGATCGAATTTCCATTACCAGATGTCAAAACTAAGAGGCGTATCTTTGGTATCCATACCTCTCGTATGACTTTAGCACCTGATGTTGATTTGGAAGAATTCGTACAATCTAAAGATGACCTTTCTGGCGCTGACATTAAAGCTATCTGTACCGAAGCTGGTCTGTTAGCCTTACGTGAACGTAGAATGAAGGTGCTAGCTGAAGACTTTAAGAAGGCTAAGGAGAAGATTCTTTATCGTAAAAATGAAGGTACCCCAGAAGGTCTTTATCTATAAATTTACTTCATGTAGAATAAAAGGAGTGTTGGGTCTATATTTTTACGAGTTCAACCAATTAAATTTGCTTTAAATTGAAATAAAATTCTATTAAAAAATTTGTAAAAAGTAATTTTTTATAATCATAAGATGTTGATAGGGGTTATTGGGCCTATAAAAAGCGGAAAGAGTTCACTTATAGAGTACTTAATAGAGAATGAAGGATTTAAAGAGATTCGATTAGTTGATAATGAAGAAGAGGAATCAAAATTAGAATTTAAAGATATAAAATCGCTTTTAGATTATGTAACTAATAACTGGCAAGAAAAGCTTATCATTGAAACTGGTTTACTACCTTCAACAATCCAAGTACTTAGGTAGTTCAATTAAAGTATAAGAGATAAAAAACAAATACTAATGATCAGAAAACGTCCTTTTTTTTTATTAGTTCAAGTGGATGCCCCACTTGAGTATAGATATAAAAGGTGGCTAGAAATAGGCACAAAAAATTCATCAGACTTTGTAAACTTTATTATTGAAAATGATGCCCACTTATACACAAATCATCCTTTGTCTTTAAAAGATGAGAGTAATCAACCAGAAGTCTGTTCTCTAAATGAAGTTATGAACTACACCGATGTGAGTCTCTTTAACCCCTACACCGAAAAGGATAGCTATTACCACCACATAAAGATCCTTGATTTACTTGACCCAGAACGTCTACGACCAGGTTGGGATAATTATTTCATGTTACTTACTGAGCTTGCTTCCAAACGTTCCAACTGTATGAAACGAAGAGTAGGTTGTTTGATAGTTAAAGACCATAGAGTAATAGCTACGGGGTATAACGGAACACCAAGAAATGTACCTAACTGTTCAGAAGGTGGATGCCCTAGATGTAATCAAAATAGTACCATGGGACAAGGCTTGGATTTGTGTTTGTGTATCCATGCGGAAGAGAATGCTCTTTTAGAAGCGGGAAGGGAAAGGATCAACTATGGGTATCCTATATTGTATTGTAATACTTGTCCTTGTATTGGTAAGTTTAAAGTTTTTTTTGAGTTTTTTTATTAATAGGTTCTTCTTTATTAGGCTGTGCCAAGAAAATAGTTCAAGTTGGGATTAAGGAGGTGGTATATGCTTTGGATTATGGGATGGACGAACATACAATTAATCTATTTGAAATGGCAGATGTTAAATTAAGGAAGTTTGTACCTAATAGTATTAAGCTATTCGATCGACTTCATTAAGGTTTTTTAAAAAAACAATTAGTTTAAAAGAATAAAATTATTATAGTGATACTACTATTATTAATCTTTATTATTATTTGTTAATTCATTCTTTATTATTTTTGATGCTCTTTAACATACTTATTCAATTCTTTAAATGCTTTTTTTGATGATATATAATGTGGCTTATTGTCCCTATGAAATATTCTATTTCTCTTCCTTTCCCCATCATCAATGAATAACTTTCTTAGTATATTCAAGAAGAAATTTCTCTTTACTTGGCCACTATCTGTATTTGGCGGTGGTGTTGAATACTCCATCACTTGCGTTGGTTCGTCTTTAAACTTCTTACTCAACATGAAAGACTTAATTTTAATCCCTTCACTAAACGTATAATTTCTATCTACTTTTCCTAACAACTTCCCAACACAATCACTTGAGCTATAAAATTCAACTTGTGTATTTAAAGTGTTTATTTCTACTTTGGTGATTGTGGATGGGTATGCCAGACACTCGTCCTCAGCTTCGAAATTGGTGAGTATTGAATGATCAGCTGTTTGTAACCTGATCTGTAGACATGTTGTTAAATGAAGGAGAAGTAATATAATTAAACTTGTTATAATATGTTTCATGGTTTTTTATTGATAATTATTAAGAAATCAAGCTGACGTTTTTGTTATTTGTTTAGCAAAAAATAAAAATGGACAATTAGTAGCTTAATTACTCCGCGAATTGATGAAATGTTTCTTAGTGCCGGACAAAGAAAAAAATAGATAAAAGATTATAAACAAAGTTGATTTTAAATTTTATTATTATTAAAGTAATTCACTTTATTTAAATATTATTTTTATTATGTTATTAAGGATCGATATTCTATTGTATTGTTTACAGATGAACTTGTATTCATCAATTAATTAATTTTTGTTACTTAAAAATCTCCAAGTTTAGTAACTTCATTTTAACTCAATAATTAGAAATACTAATCATAGTGAGTTTTATTTTTGTCATAAAAATCAAATAGATAAATAAAACTAAGAAGCACATTATATCATTTTTAAACTTTTGGAATAGTAAATCCATTCAAACTAATTATCGAGCATCTCCTCTTGAATATACCACTTAGTATATAATAGCATAAAATAACCTGCTAAGTAACTTTTTATAAATAACTAATTTCTGACCATATTAATTAATAGTCGACTAATAGTCAAACCCTGCTTCTAATAAGCTATCAATAGTCCATATTGAGGTGCCGATTTGAACTATAGTGGGGTATATATATGAGAATGCAAGTCATAATATTTCCTACTACCTAGCTATTTTCCCCTATAAAAGATTCCAATAAGGAAACGTAAATTAAACAGATATACAAAATATGGGGATGTATTTTTGTGTTTAACAATTTTGCTGATAATTTTTCCACTCGAATAGCGCTAAAAGATGGAAAAAGTAATGAAGCCAAAAAAAATACCCCCATAAGCAGATTAAAAAGTAACTAACCCCATTTTCTAATAAGAATGTCTACAAGACGAAATTTGGCTAACAGTCAGCCGCTTAAGAATCAGCTTTGAATCAGGCTTTATATACTAATATCTACAAATATGTTTAAAGAACTTTAAATACTGTTTAAATTCTCTAGGGAGAAGAAACGGTCCCGTGGCCCAATGGATAAGGCGTCTGTCTACGGAACAGAAGATTCCAGGTTCGATCCCTGGCGGGATCATTCTGATTTTTTTTCCTTGATTTTAAGATCCATGTGGCCTACACTAATTTTATTTATGATTAAAAAATGCTAGTTACTAGTTACAACACTAGATAATCCTTAAATTTAATGGTTACTTTGCTATATCTTTACCATTAGATGTACTGATTTTATCAAACTACTTTATATAAATGGCAATTTAGTTTAGTTAATATTTGGGGATGTATTCTCGTGTTTAAGGATTTTATTAGCAATTTTTTCACTCAAATAACGCTCAAAAGATGGAAAAAGTAATGAATCCAAAAAAAACACCCCTATTTGGTTATCGAATTAATATTTGACTGGTTCGATATGGGGATGTATTTTTATGTTTAAGAATTTTGTTAACGATTTTTTTACTCAAATAGTGCTTAAAAGATGAAAAAGTGAAGTCAGAAAAAATACCCCCCTATGTTTGTTGATTATAGCTATTTAATTAAAGACATAAAGGATGTTTTTTCTGACTTCATCACTTTTTCCATCTTTTAAGCGGTATTTGAATGGAAAAATTGTTAGCAAAATTCTTAAATACATTCCTACATTATGTTTACAAATATATAATAAAACAGAAATATTTTAAATTTTATATTATTTTATATTATTTTAATTATTTACACTCAAGTTTTATAAATTGATGTATGACTTGTTAATTAAGTATTTATTAAATATTTACTTTTATGCTTAATAAATTCAAAAATTGTTAATTTAAACTTAAGTTAATAGATTCTAACATTATTTAAAATTAATATTTTTCTTTATTAAACCAATATCTTCATAATAAAAAGTATGAATTAAATGTATAGAGTATGTTGGATCAATAATTTTGAAACATAACTTATTAATTCCATAACATTAAAAGTTAATTTATAGTAAGAATTTAGGATCAAAAAAATTTAAATAATTTTTAAAACAAATTTGCTATTAACTAAAAACTTTATTTATCAAATACTGAATGTTATAATAATATACACTTTGATAAAATTCTATAATAAAATAAATTTTAACTTACTATTAAAAAATTCAATTTCATAATTACAAAAGCAAAAATCCTTAATTTCTATTTCAACAACTAAATGCTAAAAATCAAAAATAGTGCCAATGGGATTCGAACCCACGCCTCCGAAGAGAGCGCAACTTGAGTGCGCCGCCTTAGACCACTCGGCCATAGCACCTTTTATATATATTTTATACAATTTATTATATATAAATACATAAAATTGACTTAAAATAAGATTAAAGCTTAATCCCTTAAAGCAAGATTCAATCTTCAAAAATATAAATTCAAAGTTTAAAATCAAAGTAAAATCAAAAATAAATTTCATTTATTATAGTAATAGTTATTTGATAGCTATTCTAAATGGTGGGAAATCCTAAATTAGAAAAATAATGTTAATAAATTAATCTCAAAGCTTAACTCTTAATCCACTTACCTCGACATCCTCCCCATCTTTAGTAGTGCCCATAATTTCAATATTAATATGGGATACATGGTCACCAAATTTTGATTTACTAACCAATTCACACGCTTTAGATAGCCTATTCAAAAGATGATGTTAATAAATCATTTAATTTTCTCATTATAATAGAAATAGTCCTTACTTCATATTTAATCTCTCTGGAGTAGTAGTGGTTTTGATAAAATCGGAATATAACATACAGGCACCATAGGAAATCATATTTAATTCCAATTCATATTTTTCATAACAATAATCGATTAATTCCTGCACAGTTAGATCTTCTTCAATATAATATTTATCCCATAATGTAAATTCGGTATCCATAAACTATAGAAATATACAAATTGATTAGCTCAATTGGAATCTTACTTTATAATTATTACCTTCATTTTAGGAGCTGCAATAGGTTCTGAGAAACCAACAAAAGGAGTAGCCAAATTAACAAAAGCATTTTTAAAGTCTTCAATTGTACGCTTAGATGGTTCTTTACTTTTAATATGATCAACAATTTTAATCATTTCCAAACAAACCAAACCAGTAATTAGAGAAGTAGTGGTAGCAATAGCTGGTATGATTTTACCCGCAATACCTTTAGTAGTATGTCTATCAGCTTCTGAAATTTCATAATTACGTGCTCTCAAATTGGATGCTGAGGTTATAAAATCAATATGGAAATTACTATCATCATCCTAAATATATGAATATATAAATATAAATATAAGTAAAAATATAAATATAAAATTTTACCTTTTCAAAATCAGCTGCGTTAACTTTAATATTATTAAAATTATTACTATTATTTGCAATAAGTTGAATAATATTATCTACATCATCATCTTCTAAATCTTGATTTATTGGATCATTATCATTGACTTGAATTTTAACTCCGGCTTTGGGTATAAATTCAGGTACGTTAATATTATTAACTGCTTGTTTAATGAAATCAATATTCCTATTTTCCAGAATATTAAAATTAAAGGCTCTTAAATTAGCTGTTGCTATAATAAACTCTAAATGTAATGGGTCGTTAACATCAAATTTAATTGGTTTTGGCGCTCTTTTAGGTCCTGACCAAAATAAAGTACCAGATGAAGTTACTGTATCTTTAGGGAAAGTAAACAATAATTGCTGAATTGTATTGTTGTATAATTCTTCAAATAAAAACCGTGCAAATTCAATACAATCTTCAAAATTGTTAGGCTTTTCATCAATTAATGAATTTTTAACAGATTCAAATGTTTCTTTGGCTGTATTCCCTTGTTTACGTGTACTATTTATAAATTGCTCTTGATTTTCTAAATAAGCAATTGTATTTTCCATATTTTGTTTAAATTTGTTCTCAAACAAATCTCTTGCCCATTGAATTGTATGTTCAATTTTATTAGGGAAGCTTTTTAATGTACACATTGGAATGGATTTTTCTGGTGGATCGTGTGAAGATGAATAAGATTCAGTCATATTTGGAATAACTACTTGTGTATTTCCTAAAGTACCTAAAGTACCTGATTCTAATAATGGTTTACTGTAATAAACACATCGACTATCCATATATTGTCTTGCATCAATATTATCTAATGCATTAGTAACAAAATCAATTTTATTGAAGAAAGTATCTGAATATACATTTTCAGTTTCATTACCTACTCTATCTGAATAGGCTTTAATACTGTTTTTTAATTCTGGGTTCATTTCAATTATAGCATTAGCAGCTGTTTGCGATTTCAATTGGCCAACATCTTTACTTCTAAATAAAAACTGACGGTTTAAATTGGATTTTTCAATTGTATCCATATCAGTTATATGAATCATACCCTCTTTACCAGAACCTAATCCAATTAATGCCCAATTTTTTAACATTTCACAGCCAATAGCACCTGACCCAACTAAAAATTGATTGCAATTCTGCAATACCTGTTGATATTCTTTTCCAAATATAGCAATTTGTCCATCATATCTTGAATTAATTGGCTGTACATTTGATTCATTAATATTAAAATTCTTTGGTAAGGACTCTAAAGAATCAAAATATAAATATTGTTGAATTGGATGGAATTTGCCAGAGACTGCTTTTAATACTTCTTGTGCAACAATACCACCAATAACAGCCGCCATCGGAGCAAATGCCCCGTTAGATTGATAAGCTAATTCTTTAATTAGTTTATCATCCAATTGAATAGGCTGTTTTAATTCATTATTAATTTTGTTGGCTAATTCTAACATTTTAATAGCATCTTCTTCATTCCTTGGTTTAGGTAGCTTATCATGATTTAGTTGTTTAAATTGATGTAATGCTTGAAAACCAATATGTAATTGAATTGGACGATCAAATTTGGCAAAATCAGAAATAACAAACTCAGGTTCTTTCAAAGACTCTAATAAATTTTTAAATTGAATTTCTTTGGGTGTTTTTACTTGTGTAAATACTCCACCAATTTTATAATTAGTATAATTACTAAGATCTCCAATTGAAAATGTAAATGGTCCCAAATATTTAATTTTAAATGGTCCACTTTCGTTAATACCTTCCATTCCTTGTACTTCACTAAATGTAACTAAATCCCCGTCTTCTAATCCATGTCTGGTATCTTCTAAACAAGTAACAACTCCATCTTTATCCTAAATGATATAATATCAACATTGATTCAATACTTATAATATAACATAAATAAAAAATATACATTAGTTATACTAGCAATCATAGCAGTTTTTGGTGGGTTACCAGTTGGATCCAAACATTTGAAATTACTTCCAAAGTCATTAAATACCATACTAAAATAATTATAATAGTAGGGTGGTATTAGTACGTTATAATTGAAATGTATATTGTTAAATAAAAGTATCTTTACCCAAATAAACCAAAAATATCAGCAGCAATAAATTTAGCTTCATATTTACGAGCCCACTCATTAATTTGGATTTGATTTTGTAAACTGATTTCAGTAGTAACAATAGCCTAGTTAAATATATAAATAAACAAATTGTTATTATAATAATTAAAATTCTAAACTTACTTGATATTTTTTAACTGTCTGTTCATCAATATCCCCACTAATAACATGTACAGGTACATATTGATTTAATAACTTTAATTTTTCGGCTGTACAACTAGCTCTTGGTTTACCAATATCCGACTCCGTTAAATAAAACTAAATAAATTAGCCTTCATTAATAACTAATTATTCGATTAATAAAACCAATTCTTACCTGAGTAGATAGATCTTTTAACTCTGTTGGTTGATCATCATGTAAAGTAACCGATTTGACACCAGCAAGAATCACGTTTTTTGCAATTTCAACACCAAGTCCATTCAAACCTAAAATCAATACATGACTATTAGCCATGCGATTCATGGCTTCATGGCCTAATACGTAACTATATTGTTAAAAAATTATTAGTAACTCAATTCTCAATTTGTTTGATATTGATAATAATCAATTTGCTTACAGTTGTCTGGAATATAAACCTTCATCTATTTTTGGGTTTTTATCACTCATTTGTTTTGTTTTTATTGAAAAATTAATATAAAAATATTATAGTATAATTTTTTTTGGCTTCAACTTACTTAGTAACACTTAGCTATGTAGACTGAAAATAGCTGACATCATTTGCTACTTGATTGGTTACATCAAGAATTTGGAATTTTTTTGGGTCAATTCAGGATTTTTTATAAAAAGATAATAAATTATTAATTTACTAAATAACCAAACTTAATTCACTATTTTCAAAAAAAAATAGATTACATAGATTAAATTTATTAATGGACAGTCCAATTCCAACTCCAACCTTAGTATCGGACATCGATTATTTGAAACTTTATGAACCTGCTGGCAAGTAACTCAAATTAGATTATTCTCCCTCACAGCACTTACTTCTTTAATTTATTAGAAGATACATTTACTTTAATGGATACTTTAGAAGAGGATTTAACTCGAAACAAGCTGAAAGATATGACCCCATGTATGGTTTTAGAAGTCGGTGTAGGTAGTGGTATGGTATTAAACTTCTTAGGTAAATTGATAAAAAGGAGGCTGGAGAGGGAGGTGGTATTGATGGGTACGGATATTAATCCATATGCATTAAGGAAATGTCAAGAAAATGGCAAGTTAAATGAGGTGAGTATTATAGAAAACATTAATTATAAATAGGATAAAATAATTACTATTTTCATTAAAATTAAAATTAAAATTAATTCTAGCTAACTTTGAATTTAATCAACTGTAATTTGGTTTCTAGTCTAAGGATGGGAATCAAATTAGATATTATTGTATTCAATCCACCTTATGTAGAAACAGAAGATAATGAGGTTTTTTCGAGTGATAAAGTGTACAGCTCAACAAAAGATACATTATTTGATGATATTATTACAGCTACTTGGGCAGGTGGTAAATTCGGTAGGAGAGTTATTGATCAGTTTATGACTCAAGTCAAGGAATTGTTGGCAGATAAAGGAGTGTTTTATTTGGTGACAGTGGCTGAAAACAAACCAGTAGAGTTGATTGAAGAGGCTAAAGAAATCGGATTAGTAGGAGAGGTAAAATCTATTTTAATACTATTGAACAATGTATAATATTTATTATTTATTAGATCTTGAAAATTCGTAAAGCAGGAAGAGAAAAATTATATATATTAAAATTCATTAAAAAGTAATGAAGAAATCTATTCGATTTTATTGTTATTTATCTTTGTCAATTTTTTGTTATTTTTTTGATTTTTT